AGGAGCTATGTTGTCGAGGGCTATATGTCCCTGGTAGGGTCTCTCATGGCAAACAGGTCCTGGGTGACAGACCAGACAAAGGGCGGTTCATAGGCCACTTATGATGAACAAAAAATCAAGGCTCACGTTTACCCTGCACAGTATGGGGTCACCGGGGCCCCACCCTAGAGCCAGGCCTGCCAGGCCTATACCCACGGGTCCTGGTTGGGCTCAGCGCAAAACCACAACATGGAGCCACTCTTTGGTGGGCCCAACACCTGCTGGAGAGGCCGTAGGGGGCCAGTGCATTGTGTTTTGGGCAGTGGCCGGGGCCAAGTGCCTGGCCGACACCAACTCTGGTTTTTTTGGAATGCCACCTCACTGGTCGGGAAGGAGGCTGAGCTGGTGCAGGAGGTTTTTGATTTTGATTTTGTTCTTTCAAACATGCAGAACAAATGACATCAACACACACACATAATTACACAAAGCCAACCACTGCTAATCCAGAATCAGTTTGCTTATACCCAGCACATGTTTGAATGGAGTAGGAAGAAGTCAGACTTATCCAGTCCTACCCCAGAACATCATCTTATACAAAGATTTTCATGCATCATTGGCTGCAAGCAGTATCTAAACATAGTAAATTCTCTTCTTCACCAACAAGTAATACACAGAAAACTTAAAACAAAGTGTTTCCTTCATGCATTCTTGATTAAATCTCTAATTCTTGCATATATCTTGAATGACACATACATTTATATTTATATTTAAACTCCTCAGTTCTAGTACTGTTTTTCATGTCCACACTTAAATCATTCCATAATTTGACCCCACTTATAGAAATACAAAATCTTTTTTTGGTTGTTCGTATAGCATGAACTTTTAGATTTAACTGACCCCTTAAGTTATATCCCCCTTCCCTTTCACCAAATAACTTTTGGATTCCACCAGGTAATAAATTGTTCCTGGCCTTATACATAAACACAGCAGTCTTATATCCCACTAAATCAAAGAATTTTAACAATTTAGACTGTATGAAAGCTCCATTGGTGTGATCCCTATATATATATACTATTAAACTTTGTAATTAAACATAAAAATATATATTCGACAAGTAAATTTACTTCCTTGCTTCACAAACGCACACATTATAAATAATATATAACCTATATATAACCCTTCTCCTAACATACAAAGCCCTTAATGACAAGGCTCTGAGCTCCTCTCCTCCTCCTCCTCCCCCCCTTCCTTTATGTCAACAGCAGCAGATGAAATTATTTTTTTGTAATATGTACAATGGTTGCAGTGAACTTTTGTAAGTGTTTCCCCAGTTTTCAACGCCATACTCCAAGTATGGTAAAATCAATGAAGAATACAAAATGCGAAGTGCTTTCACATCCAGCATATGTCTAACCCTTGCCAATATCGATATGTTTTTAGCTATTTTATGCTGAACATATCTGATATGAGATTGAGAGATACTGTCTAGATATAGTCGGGCTCACTTCTACTAAGCTTGGGTTCTGGAACAATTCTTCTCGACAAAGGGTGGACCCTCCTCTATTCTGGCATTGCTCAGGGGGAGAGGCAATGGGCTGGTGTGGGCTTGCTTTTAGCCCCCCAGCTCAGTCATCAGGTGTTGGAGTCTACTCTGGTGGATGAGAGGGTCATTTGCCTGCGCCTTCGGGTCGGGGAATGTCTCAATGTTGTTTGTACTTACACACCTAATGGTAGTTCAGAGTATGTTTTTAGGGTCCCTGTTGGATAGTGCTCTCATGGGGGACTCTGTCATTCTACTGGGGGACTTTAACACCCATGTGGGCAATGACAGTGATACCTGGAGATGCGTGATTGGGACGAGCGGCCTCCCTGATCTGAACTCGAGTGGTGAGTTGTTATTGGATTTCTGTGCTAGTCATGGTTTATCCATAACGAACACCATGTTCAAACATAGAGGTGTCCGTCAGTGTACATGGCACCAGGACACCCTAGGTCAGGGGTCGATGATCGACTTTGTAGTCATTTCCTCTGATCTTCAGCCATATGTTTTGGACACTCGGGTGAAGAGAGGGGCTGAGCTGTCAATTGATCACCACCTGGATTTGATGCCGGGGGAAAAAGATGGACAGACCTGGCAGGCCCAAGCATATAGTGAGCGTCTGCTGGGAATGTCTGGCAGAAACCCCGTTCAGAGAGGTCTTCAACTCCCACCTCCAACAGAGCTTCAAACAATTGCAGAGAAAGACTGGGGACATTTAATCCAAATGGACTATGTTCCTCACCTCCATTGTCGGGGCAGCTGCTCTGAGCTGTGGCCGTAAGGTCTCCGTGACCTGTCATGGCAGCAATTCCCGAATATGGTGGTGGTCACCGCAAGTAAGGGATGCTGTCAAGCTGAAGAAGGAGCTCTATTGGGCCTGGTTGGCTCATGGGACTCCTGAAGTAGCTGGCAGGTACCAAGAGGCCAAGCAGGACGCAGCCCTGGCAATTGCCATGGCAACAACTCAGGCATGGGAGGAGTTTGGTGAGGCCATGGAGGAAGTCTTTTGGTTGGCTTCAAAGAGATTCTGGAGAACTGACCGGTGGCTTAGGAGGGGGAAGCAGTGTTCTGTCAACACTGTTTACAGTAGAGGTGGTGTGCTGCTGATCTCAACTGAGGATGTTGTCAGCCGGTGGAAGGAGTACTTTGAAGATTTCCTCAATCCCCCCAACATGCCTTCCATAAAGGAAGCCAGGTCTGGGGACTCGGGAGGGGACTTGTCCATTACCCTGGCTGAAGTTGCCGAGGTAGTTAAGGAACTCCTTGGTGGCAAGGCTCGGCGGGTGGATGAGGTCTGTCCTGGGTTTCTCAAGTCTATGGATGTTGTGGGGCTGTCTTGGCTGACACGCCTCTGCAGCATTGCGTGGAGCTCGGGGACAGTGCCTCTGGACTGGCAGACTGAAGTGGTGGTCCCCCTTTTTAAGAAGGGGGACCAGAGAGTGTGTTCCAACTATAGGGGGATCACACTTCTTAGCCTCCCCGGGAAAGTCTATGCCAGGGTACTGGAGAGGAGAATCTGGCCGATAGTCAAACCTGTTAGGGTGACTCGAACACAGAAGTGAGTGAGTCACAAAAAATAGACGGACCCAGGTGGCTGACTTCGATGCAGACAGTGCTAGTTTATTTACAGTGCTGAAATATGTGACAAGAAATAAACAGGAGAGTAATACGGGGACCGGGTGTCGAGCTTCGGAGATGTACACAGTCAATGAAGGAGATGATGAGAAGAGGACCGGGCTGCGGACACTGGGACTCACTCCTGGGCTGGTCGTGGTGGATAGTACTGAAGAGAAATAGCAAGAGTACATACTGTAAGTAGTAGACTGTGCATCGACCTGCAAGGTGGGGATGAAGCAGAGCAGAGGAGGTCCGTGGTTCGAAGGAGTGATAAAGGTGAGGAGGGAATAATCCAAGCAGCTGGAGAGAAGGAGATAAGACCAAAACTAACACAGATCAAAAAGAATGATGGAGATACAAACGGGCCTGAAAAATGCTAGAAAGAACTGGCAGGGGAGTGAACGAAGAGCAGGGACTAAATAGGGAGAAACTAATCAGGTGCAGCTGGTGGTAATCTGGGGGTAAGAAACAGGTGTGAAGGAAAACGTGATCAGGGTAAGGCAGTGAAAACAGAGAGAGGGGAGTGAGAAAGTAGGGGCAGCCGGGCAAACCTGACAAAACCTTGGATTCAGGAGGAACAATGTGGTTTTCGCCCCAGCCACGGAACACTGGACCAGCTTTATACCCTCACTAGGGTGTTGGAGGGTTCATGGGAGTTTGCCCAACCAGTCTACATGTGTTTTGTGGATCTGGAGAAGGCATTCGACCGTGTCCCTCATGGCATCCTGTTGGAGGTACTTCGGGATTATGGGGTGCGGGGCTCGTTTTTATGGGCTGTCTGTTCCCTGTATAACTGGAGTAGGCGCTAGGTTTGCATTGCCAGCAGTAAGTCAGACCTGTTTTCGGTGCGTGTTGGACTCCACCCTTTGTCACAGATTCTTGTCATTATTTTTATGGACAGAATTTCTAGGTTCTAGGTCCCCAAACGGAAACAGAGGGTGTCTGTTTTGGTGGCCGCAGAATCTTGTCTCTGCTCTTTGCGGATGATGTGGTTCTGTTGTCTTCATCAGTTCAAGACCTACAGTGTGCACTGGAGGGGTTTTCAGCCAAGTGTGAAGCAGCGGGGACGAGAATTAGCACCTCCAAATCCAAGGCCATGGTTCTCAGTCGGAAAAAGGTGGATTGCTTTTGGGGTCTTGTTCATGAGTGAGGGAAAAATGGAGCGGCAGGTTGACAGATCGGTGCGGTGTCCACAGTAATGCAGTCTCTGTACTGGTCCGTTGTGGTGAAGAAGGAACTGAGTCATAAGACAAAGCTCTCAATTTACTGGTCAATATACGTTCCTACCCTCACCTATGGGGATCATGACCGAAAGAATGAGATCGCGGATACAAGTGGCACTCTCCTCCGGAGAGTGGCTGGGCGCACCCTTAGGGATAGGGGGCAGAGCTCAGTCACCCGTGAGGAGCTCAGAGTAGAGCCGCTGCTCCTCCACGTTGAGCGGAACTAGTTGAGGTGGCTCAGGCACCTGTTTAGGATGCCCCCTGGACATCTCCCTGGGGAGGTATTCCGGGCATGTCCCTCCGGGAGAAGGCCTTGGGGCTGAACCGAGACATGTTGGAGAGACTATGTCTCCTGGCTGGCCTGGGAACGCCTTGGGGTTCCTCCTGAGGAGCTAGAGGAGGTGTGTGGGGAGAGGGAAGTCTGGGAGGCTCTGCTCGGGCTACTGCCCCCGTGACCCGGATGAAGATGGATGGATGGATGAATAAAATGTTTGCATCAAAAGCAGACATTCAAATTCTAGCGTACACGCATCACAGATTGCACTGACACAGATCTCATGTACAGTATAATGCCCTGAATAATACTATGAACTAATAATGAAGGGGGAAAAAACATTTTCTCATTTAGGTAGCATGAATTTTTTTATTGTCAGCTGTACAGAGTTAGACACCGACATGGCACAGGCAAGATAGCAGCTATTCCTAAAAGAAGAACACAAAAATTAAGTGCATTTTTAGCAATTTAAAAATTATCATATCAATAGGTGAAAGTTCAAATAATACAAAAACTTAAAATAATTACAATAAATTTATATCATTCATATCATACTCAACAAAACCTAGTCACAAAACTCAGACTTAGGTTAACAGAGCAGATGTTAGCTTACAAAAGTGATTTTTTAAAATCTCAAATAATGGCAATGAGTAAAATTTTCTGACATGTTAGCAGACAGTTTCAACATACACACCGTGATCCAAAACTACAGCAGCAGCACCACATCACAATGAGCATCTCAGACAAATAGTGATGGCAACATGAATGAAATTAATTTCACATACATAAAGATTCACCTTAAAGTGGTCTTCACTTCAAAATACACTAACATCACAAGACTGAGTACAATTAGTTGTGCCCTATGAGTGTTAAATAATAGTTCAAAAAAATAGGAGATATTACCACTCATATCATTCAACAATGTCAGCTGAAAACTAGCATTTCAGACAGACACAAAAGCTATGAGATGCAGCCACCTCAACTTTTTCACTACTGAACATTCACATTAACACCTGTCACCACTAGAGGACAGCACAGGCTCATCCTCTTGTATCCTACAAGGAGAATTTATGTTAAACCATTAGAAATTTGGCACAGGATCCTTCATATCAAATCTTTTTTTATAGTCATCAAAAAGTTAACTATACCAGGCAGTTAGGTGGAGCTGTATCTACACTTAAAAATCCCACAGATTAAGCCATGGCAGGTGTTCCCTTTTAAAGTGATTCAGCAACCACAGCTAGTTATCCAGTTGACTGAATAAAAATGTTGTTAGTGATCATTCACTGAGTTCATTTCTGCCGTAAAATTCAACCATTAAGAGAGAAAGAACTTGGTGGTTTTGGTAGTACGTAAGACTGATGGACTGTGATAGCTTATGATGCACACACCAAACTGTCTCCTCGGGTCTTAAAAGCAAGGATAACCTCATGGTGCAACCTCAGAGACAGCACAGAGTAAAATCGCTCTGATAATAGAGGATGGATTAACAAAACAATGGCATAGAGTATGATGTGAACTCACTATATACATTTTGCTCCAGTGTGTGTAAACATTTCATGAAGCTTTGATTTATGAGTGACTTTCTAGTGTGTGTTTTCTCTAAATGGGAGACTGGAGTGTTGTCACAATGTCAAAGTGTGTTTACAGTACTTGAAATCTAATGTTCAATCAACTGCAATTATGTCCCATGACAATAAATTAACTGTGTGCCATAAGATGCCTTCAAATAACTCACCCTCTGGCAGCCATATTGTAGGTCTTCATCTTTTGGGCAACAATAGCAGGTTGCATTTATGTAGATACTTATTTTCTCTCTCAACAAGACTAAAAAGGTTAACTTAATATCTGTTCTGGTTTTGACTGGGGGGTAATTTTCACCACAAATAAATTTTTTAGTACAATCTGTTTAGTTTGTTACAATTGCAAGGTAACTCAGGTATCAGGTTAGCTAACTGAACATCAGCTAAACAAACACTAGCTAAAAATAAGTGCATTAATCATAGCTAACTGATGGCTACAAACTATTTTAGGTGACTAATTAGAAAGCAAATCCCTAAACAAGCTAGCTGCTTTTGAGGCTATTTTATCATAAAGAGTTTATTTCTGAAAGCACAATTAACAACAAAGCTATAGCAAATTTTATAAATAGATAGGAAAATTAGTGTGTTATTTTGTTACAAATAAGTAAGCAAAATAGCAACAACAAATCAACAACAATTTTAAGAGGTGCAGTAGCTACTGTAAGATGGCTGGGAGTTCACAGTGTAGCCATTATTAGTACACAGGCAGTAGGAGCAAATGTGTATCACTGTCATTACAAAATTAGAGAACCATGCTTGGAAAATGAGTGCAGCTAACATTATGTACCCTATCCTGTTGCATTTTTCCATTTTCTATGGATATTATAGATTTAGAGAACTGTGATATTGAAATAACCTAATGTTCTACTTAAGGATTTATAGGATTGGTTGGGAATGTCACTGGGTTTTTCCATGAGACCATAATGGCAGTGCATGTTAACATACTGTTTCAAAAAGGCCAATGCTCAAAATGCTTTATCACACTGGGCCAGTGTGTAACTAGTTAAACATACAGAGTGAAGCTTGTCCAAAAAATAATCCAAATTCATTTGAGGGTTAATGTTTGACATTGTCTATTGATGGTCAGCAAACAGAGGTCTGGGCACATCTTGTAAACATCTCCCTGGATTATGACAAGCAACAATTTAAACCTAAGAGCAAAAGTTGCCATTTTAGTTCAAAGATGTTTGTTTCTAACCAGTTGTCTAAAGAATTTAAAGAAAATTACATTTCCACCAACTGATTGTCATTGAACAGGCTTCCTGAACATGTAATTAAGCTACGACAGGCATTTGTCAGACAAGCTGTTAGTGTTCTATAGATAATGTTGGTCATTGTATTTGCTGTATGAAAATAACAGAGAAGTGCACTTGATGATGTTCTAATGTACAAACTTATGACTTTGAGCATCACACAAAACCAACAGAACTAGGAATATATGGGAATGATTTTCCAGTATTTTACATAGTGTGTTTCCATCACTGTAATCAAAATTTTAAAAATACAAAAAATGAGCTTTGAGTGCAAAAATGTTTGAAAAAGTTTTCAAAATTAATATTTCTAATTCATGATACCATAATCTGCCTTAAAATACTTGGATGGAAACCCAGCTACCAAAGTGATCAAATTTCTAAAGCACAACAGCAGCACTAAGTGCAGTGTGACCGCCAGTGCTCCAGACTGACTGTTACTATGGCACTTTTTTTGTCCTCTCAAATGAAACCCCAGTGATCTTGTTTTTTTTAATTGACAACAAGTCAGAATTGTGTCCCATCAGCAGCATTGTCAGAAGTGTTGAAAGGTCAAAAGGTCAGTAGGCAAGAAGAAGATCTTGCTGAGTTCATAAGACAGACTCGATAGCCTCCGGTGTGGCCCCTAAGGCTTTGTTTTTGTGTGTGACAAGCGGCGAGGTCTCTTCCTCTGCCTGGATGTTGGCCACTGCTTCCACACAAACCTCTGCCAGTTCCCCCTCCTGCTGCTTCTGCTGCTTCTTCATCTCCTGCTGGTTGATGTGGTGGAGGATTCCAGCACCCAGAGCATCACCCTCCACATTCACCACAGTGGTGGTACGATCCCTGTATACAAAATGGACATTAATAGTCATCTTTCATCTGTTTAACCAAAATCATTTGGCGTAAACAATCCACACATCTTTCTTTGTTCTTAGCCCATTCATGCATGAATTATGGAAGCCACAGTCAGGTTTTTTCCCTCAGTGTTTTTATTACTCTTTGAGCATAAAAGAAAAAACTGAACTCATTATTTAACATGCACTTTTTTCAATTTAGTGGAAAAATGATGAATCATAATTTCTTCCCAAGATAGATAAAATTATTACTTGGAAAATTTTACACACACACACAACAGTTTCTTTCTTTAGGTGCTATGTCTTATTTTTATAACTCTGATGTTTTTGTTCCAGAAACATGTGAACTGAATGGGCTCCTGGAGTGAGTTTTGAAAGGCACTTTTGCACAATTACAACCCTGTAAACTATGTTTAACCTACAGTTATTTCTGTTTCCTTTGTCGCTCCAAGCCAGTGGCGCTTGGATAAATTACAGCAGTCCTTTACTTTTCATTTTCCCTTTCATTCACTCTATCAACCTACTGTAGTTTTGCATTTTTTCTTATATGAGTCACAGGGTGTATAGGCTTTACTCACACAATCCAGTCAACAGCCAGCATGAGGGACAGGTCATTGGTTGGTAGGCCAATGGCCTCCAGTATGATGGCAATGGTGATGATCCCACCACCTGGGACACCTGCTGCACCAACACTGGAGGCTGTGGCTGTCACACTAGAAATAATCATTCAATAATGGCATGAATAAAAAAAACATGCTTCTCATAGCACAAGTCAGCTTATCCCCTTGCCACTGCGACCCGACCTCAGATAAGTGGAGGATAATGCATGGATGGAAGTTGTCTTATTAACTTTGAGTTTGTTTTCATCATTTAACAGTCACCATGATGAAATAAACATTTTTAAAATCATCCCCAGAACTCACAGGATGGTGAAGATCTGTCCTGCGTTCAGCTCAGCATTGTTGAGCTGAGCGATGAAGATGGCAGCAATGCACTGGAATATGGCTGCCCCATCCATGTTAACTGTGGCCCCAATGGGAAGGATGAAGCGGCTGATGCGCTTGTCCACACCATTATTCTCTTCAACACACCTTATCATAGAAGGAAGGGTTGCTGAACTGGTGAGAGAATGAAAAAATTTCCTCTTTATCAGCCAATCAGGTAAAAGAAAAAAAATGTCCTCCATACATTTAAGCTTTTCAAACTTTATCCCCAAATTACTGCAAGCCATATGAATGTCAACTGTTTATATGAGGTGCAGGTGATGTTTATTCAAAACATTCTTCAAGATGCTAGTTGAACAGGTCATATTTTTTAGTTTTTATGCCACTGAACATTTATTCAAATGTCTTTTAGAACATCATAAGACAGTATACCAAGTCCAATAAAACAATTTTCTGTTGAGAAAATATAAGATTGTAAGTGTTCTTCTACTTGTCTTTCAAAAAATGAATGAGCCACTTCCTTGTCAAAGACTGTTGTATGACATTAAAGAGGTTGTACTGCCATCTTATTAACTTAGTAAAATCATTTGATATAGTTCAGATCCTTAAAGTCTTAAAGTAAAAACTGAATGAATGTTTAAAGCCCTATTGATAGTTTTGGAACAAAGATCATACCAAATACTTTGCTGCTGACCTTTACCAATTTGGGGACTAAAGTGTACGGGTGTCCAAAGTTAAAGCTAAAAGGGTGAAACCTTTTATTCATTTTATGATAACTGTCTGCCTTACTACTCCTGTGTTTGTAATTTCATGGAGATGCACCCCTTTGGCAACTTTTGTTGTTTTCCATTTTATTGCTCATGATTTTAACTTTTTAAAACTAAATTATTAAAGTTTAATTCACATACATGTAAAAATTCATTTTTCCCTTTCTGTACAGTCAACAGTTCATCAGGGACCCTCCTGATGTTGCAGTATACCTGGAGCAAGTGGCGAAGGCAGTGGTGAAGGGCGTGATGAGGCCTGCTAGGAAACTGAAGGGGTTCTTGCGTGTAAAGCCAAAGTAGATGAAAGGCAGGATGATACCTCCATGAATAATGTGGCCCAGGATAGAAGCAAAGATATATTTTCCCAGACTCGTGACCAAAAGAACCACATCTTCCATCTCCACAATCTTACTGCCCACCAGGAACATGATGCCAAAAGGGATATACCTGAGACACAAGCAGTAAATCTTTACTGGGAAGCACGAGGCTGAAAGGAATAAGGTTTTTATATGAACATTTTTAACACATTGAGTATTGTCACATAATATCACCTGATGTAGTCCAAATATACCACTATAAATACTATAAATACTACTGTAAAATCCTACCCACCACATGATCCAGGACACCAGCACCATGGTGGCCTCATTAAAAGCGTTGAAGAAACGGATGAGTTCCTCCCCCTCGTCTCCTAGTTTCCTCAGTGCTACACCAAACACCATGGCAAATAAAACCAAACCCAGGATATTCATGCCATCTGATTCTGTACCAATAGGCACCTGAAACACAAAGCAGAGCCCCACAGTAAGAGACCAAAAGATGAAAAGACTGTTATGATAAACCCCATGACTGGTTCAACTAAAAATGGAAAAACAGACTCAAGAAGAAATGACCTCCAGCCATGCAAAAAATTTGACACATTTATCAAATCTGATTTGGATAAAACTTAGTGTCTCAATTTCAACATATGTATCATTTCTTTGAAAATCTGAATAATATCTCCATCCATCCATTTTCCTCCGCTTATCCAGAACCGGGTCACGGGGGCAGCAGTCTAAGCAAAGATGCCCAGACTTCCCTCTCTCCAGACACTTCCTCCAGCTCCTCTGAGGGAATGGCGAGGCGTTCCCAGGCCAGCCGAGAAACATAGTCCCTCCAGCGTGTCCTGGGTCTTCCCCGGGGCCTCCTCCCGGTGGGACATGCC